TGTGTGTGTGTGTGTGTGTGTGTGTGTGTGTGTGTGTGTGTGATGTCCAGGCAACATTAAGAGAGAGTGTAGACTACCCGGTAGATTTTTAATTTTGTTTTGTTTTGTTTTTTAATCTTTGAGACAGGATCTTGCTCCGTCAACCAGGCTGGAGTGCAGTGGAGTGATCTCAGCTCACTGCAACATCTGCCTCTTGGGCTCAAGTGATCCTCCCACCTCAGCTTCCTCCTGGGTAGCTCAGACTACAGACATGTGCCACCACACCCAACTAATTTTTGTATTTTTGTAGAGAAGCTGTCTTGCTATGTTGCTGACATGGTTTGGCTGTGTCTCCACCCAAATCTCATCTTGAATTGTAGTTTTCATAGTCCTGTGTCCTGGGAGGGACCCAGTGGGAGGTAATTTAATCATGGGGGCTGTTACCCTAATACTCTTCTTGTGACAGTGAGTTCTCACATGATCTGATGGTTTTATAAGGGGTTTTCCCCCCTTTGTGTTTGCACTTCTTTTTGCTGCTGCCATGTGAAGAAGGGCATGTTTGCTTCCTTTTACACCATGATTACAAGTTTTCTGACACCTTCTCAGCCATGTTTAAGTGTGAGTCAATTAAACCTCTTTCCTTTATACATTACCCAGTCTCTGCTATGTCTTTATTAGCAGCATGAGAATGGACTGATACCGTTGTCCAGGCTGGTCTCAAACCCCTGGCCTCAAGCAATTCTCCCACTTTGGCCTCCCGAAGTGCTGGAACTACAGGCATGAGCCACTGTGCCTGGCCAGCCTAGTAGATTTCATTTGAAACTCTAACAGAGTTTTTAATGGGTCCCAGATAAAGTGAAGGCATTTGATTTCAACTATTTGGAATTAAAAAGTTAATCCTTTGGTTTTTCTACAGAATGAATTTATAATGTGTTACACATAACAGAACAACCGTGGGAGGGAAATAACTATTAACTCTTATGCTGGAACAAGAGGTATATACCAGAATTGGCCCAGGCACCTGGAACATATGATTGTCCAAAGGTCCTACCCTATTTCATAATTGTTAGACATTCTGAGGACAGAAACTCAAGCATAGGTCTCTGTACAAAATGATGGTCAAATGAACAAATAAAGCAAAACTAAAGGGGATGGGAGATGATGTTTCTGAATCACGCATGTTTTAGAAGATAGACTTCAATATGGCAGAACATCATAATCGATGGATATTAAGTTTATTATACTCACATATATATTTCACCCACTTTTGAGCTCTACATTTTGGTAAACCATAATAGATTATCTATCTATCTATTACCTATCTATCTATCTATCTATCTATCATCTATGTATATCTAGTTATCTGTCTGTCTTTCCTTCTTTTTGACTACACATATTACACTGTTTTCATTTACTCTCTTCCATTTCTCCCACTCATATTTATTAAGCTATCATGATTGATACACTATCCTGGGACTTGTTTGTTTAAACATGCACTTATTGGTACATCATTTTGAAGCATATTCTTTACCATTTCTGAATTTTATATTGATAGACAATCCCTCATCATTTGCATTTTATTGCTTCTTCATGTTACTGATGGGAACCTGGGTATTGATCTAATTATTACTCCTGTGTATGTGATCTGTGACTTTTCTCTGGTTGCAGTTGGGTTTTATTTGATCCAATAAACACCCAGTTGTGCTTCTGAGCATCCATTCTCCTGCTACCCTGTAATAAGCATCATTTTCTCTCCTTATATCTCATTGTTTTTGGAGCAATAAAAAGGTCCTAACAATTTATTCATGATTTGTAGAGCATGACTTTCTATCTAAACCTGGTGTGAATATGCTTTTTCTTTGTTACCTGATGTGATGGTTAATTGTGTCAGCTTGTCTGACCTAAGGGATGCCCAGAGAGCTGGTAAAACATTATTCGTGGATGTGTCTCTGAGAGTGTTTCTGAAAGAAATTAACATTAGAAACAATAGACTGGATGATAGGATTTCACTGAGTTTCCACCCGAATCTCATCTTGAATTTTAGCTCTCACAATTCCCAAGTATTGTGAGAAGGACCTGGTGAGAGGTAACTGAATCATGAGAGGTGGGTCTTTCCCATGCTGTTCTTGTGACAGTGAATAAGTCTCGTGAAATCTTACGGTTTTACAAAGGAGCATTCCCCTACCCATGTTCTCTTTTTTGCTGCCATGTAAGACGTGACTTTGCTCCTTGTTCACCTTCTGCCATAATTGTCAGGCCTCTCTAGCCCTGTGGAACTCTGAGTTGATTAAACCTCTTTCCTTTATAAATTACCAAGTCTTGGGTATGTCCTCATAGCAGTGTGAGAGCAGACTGATAAACTGGGTAAAGAAGATCTACCCTCACCAATGTCAGTAAACATCAGCCAGTTTGTTGAGCGTCTAGATAGAACAAAATGGCAGTGGAAGGGTGGATTCAGTCTCTATCTTCAAGCTAGATATCCATTTTCTCCTTACTTCTGGCATCATCACCCCTGGCTCTCAAACCTTCAGACTTGGACTGAATTACATCAGAGGCTTTTCTGGTTCTCAGTTTGCAGTCAGCAGGTTGTGGGACGTCTAAGCCCCTATAACTATGTGAGACACATGTTATAATTATCTATCTATCTATTCATCATCTATCTATTTATTCGTCCACACATTTTTTATTCATTCATTCATTTATCTTTCATCTATCGATTTATCTATCATTCATCCATCCACCCAGCTAGCTATACATGTATTCATCTGTCCAATTGTCTATCTCCTATTAGTTCTGTTTCTCTGGAGAAACATATGATCATTGGTATCTTTCCATGGGGCCGTGAAGAGGCCACATGCAAGAGAAGGCACATTGGTAAATGTGAACATTTTGCTCATTCAAACAACTTATATCTACTAGACCTGTCTGATCCCTACGTTATATAGCTACTTCCCCTTCATAATGGAGTGTCCCTGGGCTCACTTGTTCATTGGGATGGAAAACACCTAATTTCTGATGTGTACCTCAACATGTATGACCACACGAATCTGATAGTGAGCTGAACAATCTCTACCAGGACCCTGTAAAAAGCAGGCAGCTCTTATCCAAAACGAAAAGACAGCAAAAATAGCATGACCTTTCCCTTCATAAATGAGAGATTTCATTATAATGATCCTAGTGGGGCTTTCCACTAATCCTATCAGAACCATGACCTGTTATATGCACTTCACGCAACAGTGAATCTGCTGAGTGACAAAACTTACAAGAAAGAGGTGTTCGTTCTATGAACAAAACAAATGGTGAGACTTTCTCCCACTGGGCACCATGCAAAGCCAGCCAGCACATAGAGTATGAATATGTATTTCTGTTCATTTATATTTACAGGTGAAATGAAGGATATACTGTATGGTTGTGGATAACTAGATATTTCACAGACGGTTCAGACTGCTGATCTTTCATAGACTCTTATGGGCTGATTTGGGTCTCCTTAAAATTCATATGTTGAAGCCATTACCCCTGAGGGGACTGTATTTATAGGGCCTTAAAAGAGATAATTAAGCTTAAATGAGATCCTTAGGGTAGGCCCTAATCCAATAGGACTGTTGTCCTTATAAAAAGATGAGATTAGGACAAAACAAGTACAGAGGGACAATCATGTGAGGACACAGGGAGAAGACAGTGTCTACAAGTCCAGGAGAGAGGCCTTAGGAGAAAATAGTGCTGCCCACACTTTGGATTTGCAGTATCCAGAACTGTGAAAAAGCAAATTTCAGGTTTTTTTTTAAAAAAAATCTACCCAGTCTGTGGTATTTTGATATGGCAGCCTTAGCAAACAGAGACTTGGACTTTATCATCCCTTCTATGTCAAGCATCAGTCTTACACATTTATTTGGAATATTGCTACATCCTAAGCTTCAGGTTCCATCAGCATCAATGTAGCAAACCGGGGTAAAGAATTGTGAGATAGTGAAGTAACAAAAATACCTCTAAGATCTATGTGGACACACAAAGGCTTAATGTTGCCAAGGTGGTAAAAATGTAATGCTGACACTGTTATGTGAAAGTCAACTGTCGAGGGTAGGGATTGTTGCTCATTGAGATAGAGAATAAAGAAATGGGAAGGAAAATGAAACAAAGACATTTGCTACCACAATAGCTATATGCCAGGCACCAGCATTTGTATTAATTTGTTTCTGAAAAGAAATAGAGAATGTGTCTGAATAGCAACTGTGAATTGAGCATAGCATGAAACCCTAGTCTGACTACTGCAACTTTCCATGAACTTCTTCTGACTTCTTCAGTGACAGAAAGACATGTTAACATGGGGTGCAAAAGGTACCTCCACCTGTGGTTAGAGATGTGAGCTGCCTCTTTGAACATGTATTCATCTCGAAAACTTTATTATGATTGCCTTCTACTTTTCTGCTTGACTAAATAGCTCAGAAACCTAAACTTACATTTTTCCAGCTAATCTTCCAGACAGATGTCAAACTTACATTCTTTGAGTTAAACGCACTTGTGTGAGATATGCAAGCAGAACTGACTTACGTGATCAGACAGTCAGGTGTGAAAAATCCTTGTGCAGGTACAGGTCATGGCAGGCATGGTCTCGACCTCATTAGAACCAAGCAGCTTGGAAGGTGGACCAGGTAGGTCCCTGGAAGTAACTTAATGTTGGCTTCATTGAGAACCTGCATCTATCAAGAAAGTTTGGGACTCGTCCCTGGAAGGGGATTCTCACAGCATATTCCAGAACTTCTAACAGATAAAGTTCAAGGTAAACTTAAAAATCAAAACATTTACTCACAGTCCAAATTATTCATTAGACCATGTATATAAGGCAACTTCCCAAATTTAATTTTATAGTTAAAATAATAAACAAGGGGGCGACCCTGAAATCTGACATGTTTGTGACACTATAGATTACATTTCAGATATTAAAATGAAGTACAAAGCAAATTCTAATGACGAAATCGCAGGAAATTTACATGTACAGTTTTGGTAGTGATCAGTTTTGCAGAAAAGAAAAGGAAAGAAATCACACAGTTCAACTCACAGCAGATACCCAAACTTTATTTCTGCCATAAGCTTTTAGCTTTATAAACATTTATAAAATGTATAAATATTTACAACATTTATAAAAGTTGTTAAATATTAAACCAGGTAATGTTTTAGGCACATAATCTTCAGAGTTTTCACTCCACACTATAACATTTATAATTCTCAGTAATTCCTGTGGTGGTCATATATAGGCTGAACGGAATTGTGGAAGTTGTACAATTGTCCATTTGTACTTGTGCAAACTGTACATTGTACAAGTACAATTCATTTCATTGTCACAAAACCATGCATTAAAAATAAGTATCTGTATAGAATTTCTTCTTAAAATAATACTAGCACAGAGAATAATGTTTATTCTTCTTTCTTTCTGCATATATTGTATCTTATATATGCTCTTATATATGCATTTTGTTTGCTCTTTCCATGCTTTAAAAATATTGGTATCAACTTTAGTCCTTAAAAGCAAGTATAGAGATTTTTAGGTCAAATTCCAAGAAAATTGAGACACATGTATTTTCTTATACCAGAAATATTTATGGTTATCATATCTGTCACTATGACATAGGATAAAATATAGAAATGCATAGAGCCAATAATATCATTCAACTCATTATTGGATTTGGAATTATTCCTTAATTAAAAAGAAAATTAAGAGACAAAGTCTATTGCCCAGGATGGAGTGCAGTGGTGTGATCATAGCCCACTATAGCCTCAGAATCTTGGGCTCAAGCAATTCTCCTGGATCAGCCTCCCAAGTAGCTGGGACTACAGACATACACCACCATGCCTAGCTAATTTTTAAATTTTCTGTAGAGACAGATTCTTGCTATGTTGCCCAGGCTTGTTTTAACTCCTGGCCACAAGCAATCCTCCTGCCTCAGCCTCAGAGTGCTAGGATTATAGGTGTGAGCCACTGTGCCCTTAATTTTGATGGGTAAAAGGAATTGTAGGCAAAATCATATGAACATCACAGTAATAATTACACGTTCTCCTGTATCAGTGGCTAGATGAGGTCAATCACCTTAGTGGGTACTTTTCAATTAATATCTCTAATTCCCACAACAGACATGGATTAATTAAGGGCAATCTATTTGTTTGAAAAAAAGAAAATAAGATTTGTATAATTGTCATAATTTTACACATTTCCAAATTATGATAAGCTAGGTAATTTGCACAATTCCATCCAACGTATAAGTGATGAATTCAGTTAGTGAATCAACTTCATTTTGATCCAAAACCCACTGTCCCCTGGAAGATGATTCAGAAAAGTCAAATAAATTAATAAAGTGTCAGAAACTAGACTTTCAGACAACTGATCATTGGGAAGTCTTGAGAAAGATGTGGGGAAAATGTATATCCCAAGTATATAAAGCACAATCACTATTCAATAATTTATAAATGATACCAGCTGAGCTTCGGTTCTTAGGTAGAATTGTATTTTTTTTAATTTTTGAGGCAGGGTCTCACTCTGTCACCCAGGCCGGAGTGCAGTGGTGCAAACACAGCCCACTGCTGCCTTGACCTCCTGGGCCGAAATGATCCTCTTGCCTTAGCGTCCAGAGTAGCTGGGACTACAGGCATGAGTCACTGCACCCATCCCACCATTTTTTAAAAACATACTGCCTATGAAGAGGCACAGACTACTGCATCCAGCTATTTATTTATTTTTATTTTGGGTAGAAACGGAGGTCTCACTATGTTTTCCAGTCTTGTTTTGAACTCTTGGGTTCAAGCAATCCCCCCACCTCAGCCTCCCAAAGTGCTGGGATTTCAGGCATAAGCCACAATGCCCAGCTAGAATTCTAGATCATATACAAGAAAGCATTTATAAGAGTATGTGTTAATCTGTGAAAATAGTTTTCAAAATGATTCTCCACTGGTATTTTAAAATAAGATAAATTTTTATCTGTCTGAGGGAGATTGTATTTGGGATCATCTGCCTGTGGTTCTAATTGACCATAATGTTCATGTAAAAACCCACAATAATGTGTTCTTTTATAACTATCTTTTGTTTTTGCAAATGCCAATCTGAGGTCTAGTGCTAATGAAGTATGTGGTTGAAAATGGTATAAATTG